GACTGGGCGGTGCAGAGGCGAGACTGATCGCAGCGCCCCTGCGAAAATCGCATCGAGATGTCGAGGCGCGCTTCGATGCTGATCTGTCAGCCAGCATCGACGCGCGGCGACGGGTCGGATCGGAACGAAGATCGAATCGGGCTGCATCGGTTCGATGTCAAGATCGAACCGAGAGGACCGAGAGGGAGGCGCCTGGGTACACAGCTACGCCGTGCAAACAAAGGGTGGCATCGGGCCGCCAGGAAATCGAAATCGGATCTGGTCGGGCAGGCCAAACTCGATGTCGAGTCGAGCCGATCGGATCGAAACAGACCTGCCCTGTGGGTGACCTAGAGAACGGGTAGTTGCCCGCGACCGGAATCGTCGCACACCGCCACGGACCAACTCGTAAGTCGCTCGCCTCCGGAAGGAGAGCAGCGAGAGCACTGCGAAGGGGTTCCACGCCACATGCACGCAGCTCCGCAACGCACCATGGACCAGGAGAGGTGTCTCAGGCGAGGCCCAGGCTGGGCGAGAGCCCCATCCCCAGACCCCCGACGTCATGATCTTTTCCACAACGTCGACCCCAAAAGGTCTCGACCCATTCCCGGCGACCGCTTTCTCATCCCGAATTCTTGTTCGACGGTCCCGCAGCCCGGTAAGGCCCCCCTGAGGCCGAAACTAGCGGAAAACCTCCCCGTCGTGATCTTTCTAGGGCCCCTGCCGTCGCTCGGACGTCCATTTCCCGTGCCTGTTCCGTTTTCGTGCGTTTTTTTGTTTTGTTGCTCGATGGTCCAGGATGGTCCTCGATGGCCGTCGCCGAGAAAAAATGCATACGTCCGAGCAATGCCAAGGGCCCGATGGGGGTCTGGGTCTGTCCTGATCCCCTCCCGCGGACTCGTGAGAATGGCGGCGCACGCAGGGCGAGGAGAAGCTCTCGCTGGACGGCAGCGGAGAGGGGTGGGGCAGCCTTGGTGGCTGCGGCTCCTCCGGGCCCCGCGGGCTCCAGGAAGTGGATGCCCAGGGCCTTCGCCAGGATCTCGTCGAGGATCTCGACGCAGTGCCTCGGGGGCTTTGGGCTGGACGGCGTCGAGTTTGCCCGCTTCCACGGGGGGAGAACGATGTCATGATAAGATTGGCTCAGGATGCGGATGACTCTCACCGAGGGTCGGGCCCCAGACTCGAGCGAACGGAGGGGGTGAATCTGCCAACGCGCTCGCTTGTGGGGGCCAGGATGCGGAAAGTACGGACAAACATGGACGAGCATTCACGAATCGGCCACCAGCTCACTGGCCGCCTCGGAGAATGACTGGGCCCGAGTCGCAGACTGCAACCTACGATTGACAGTTACCACGCACGCATGTAATCGTGCACTGGCAGTCCTGGTCGCATCCATGCAATCGTACATGCTGAACTTCACCTGACAGGACAAGCGCGGGTCCAATCATGTTCCTACTTGTTCTGAAGATACGTCCCTAGCAAGCGTGTACCAATATTTCTTAAAAGAGGTAAGAAAACACGTTGAACATAAGCAAAGACGCTTGAGTATGTCCTGCTCCATACTGTGTTGTGCAGTGCCCTCCGTAAAGCAATGCAATGAAAAACAATACCAAGTGAATCAATGAAGCGCGATGCAGTTTAAGCAAAGCAACTGAAAGCTAAGGACTTCAATCCAGCGTGCTGCAATGTCAAGCACTGCGCTGAAGAGCAATGCCGAGAAGTTCAGAGCACATCGAACCAACACAATGCGAACTCGAAGGCAAAGGCAATGGAAAACGCAAAACACATGCACATCCTTTCAAATCAATGCATAGTACATGGCAACGCAAGACAGCGCAACACAACACAACACAACGCAATTGCATCGCAAGCAACGGAACACAACGCAACGGAACATAATCTTGCAAACGACGCCACGCATATGCAATGCGAAACACCGTGGAACCCAAGACGCCCAAGGTACACCAGAAACCCGCTCGAAACACGCCTGATCGCAGAGGACCCAGGGGACCCCGAGGACCCCCCAGGAAACCTGGGCGGGCTGGAGCTTGTTAAAAACACCACACGGCCGTTTACACAAACTAAGCAGTGACCCCTTGGTCAGATCTTGGTCAGGGAGGAGGTGGTCCCGAGCAGCGTGCGTCCAGAAGACCAACCAGCGACCCTGAAGCGATGAAGCTATCTATCGTAAAACTTGTATATATAGCTACAAAAGCAGAAACCAATAACTATAGAGATATAGAAACCAAAACATACATATCATTCGACACACACACATAAATATATGCACTCACACATACATATGTCTATCTACATATTACAAGGCAGGGTAGCACACACACAATGGGCGATGCATATTTGAATATCTATATATATATACATATATATACATATACATATGAGACAGAGCGCATTTCAGGGGCGCTTGCCTTGGGAGCATTCGGCAGCGCGTTTCGAACCAGGGGGTGGGCCCCCACCCAACACTCGGCGCCGTCGATCAGATTCAGGGGGACCCCCCTCCCCACTGGCCCCCCCTCGTCCCGACCCCCCCCCCTCCGCCCCACCCCTGGCGCCGGCGCTGGCGGCCGCCATAGCGCCAACGCAGCGACGATGACCAGAGAAGGCCCAGGAGGGGGGGGGGTTCAACCCCCCCCCCGCCCCCGGCGCTGGCGCCGGCGCTGGCGGCGGCTAGCATCGCCGACGGCGGGGACGCAGCGACGATGATAAGAGAGGGCCCAGAGGCCGCAGAGGGAACACACACACAAATCGCCATATCGAGCCCTCGCATGCTCCTCAGACGCCCCCGAGACCCTTCTGACGAGACTTCAAGAGGCATCCATTAGAACTCTGACCCTCTGCCAAAACACAGTGGCGGGAAGAGCCGAAGGCCACACCACCACCACCACCGCTGACACCACAGACCGCCCATATCACCACCACCATCACCGCCACCACCACCACCACCACCACAACCAACCATCACCACAACCACCACCAACCATCACCACAAACCACCACCACCACACCACCACTAAAAACGCCACCACAACCAGCACCACCACAACCCACCACATCACCACCACCGTCACAACCACCACCATCACCACCACAAACCACCACACCACCACTACAACCACCACCACCCACCACCCACCACCACCACCACCAACACCACAGCCCACCACCACCACCACCATCACCACCACCACAAACCACCGCCACCACAACCACCACCGCCACCACAACGACCACCACCATCACCACCTCAACCCACCACCACCACCAAACCACCACACAACCACCACCACCACAGCCACCAACACCACCACCGCAACAGCTCACCACCACCACTATTATTAACAATGCAACAACCCACCACCATTTTCACCACCATCACCACAATCTACCACACCACCGCCACCACCGCCACAACCACCACCACTACTACCAGCAGCACAACCCACTACCATCACCACAACCACTACAAACCACCTCACCACCACCACCACCACCACTGCCACTACCTCCACCAGCACCCCCGCCGCCGCCGCCAGCCGCCGCCGACGCCGGCGCCGGCCCGAGGAGAGGGATAGAGGAAAAGTAGGGTAGGGGGAGGCAGGAAGGGGAGGGTCCGGTTCCACCCCCCCACCCCTCCAAGCGACCAAAGAACGCGCCCTTTCATATATATTTATATATACATGTAGAGAGAGAGAGAGAGAGAGAAAGAAAGAAAGAAAGAGAGAGATAGAGAGAAGGATAGAAAGAGCGAGACAAAGAGAGAACTATATATAGAGAGAGAGAGAGAGAAAAATATGTAGAGACAGAACGCAAGAGGGCGACGAGCGGCCAGCACGGGGCGCCCAAGCAGAGAACGAGGGAAGAGGAACAGGAGGGCCCTGCTCCAGGAACTGCACGGGACCTCCGCGGACAAAAAAACCTCATTGCTGACGGGCGGCAGGCTTGCCCGGAACGTTCCGAAATTCACTTCGGCAAGCTCTCTGCCAGCTTCGCGAGGCTTTCCGCGGGCTTCCCTTCGACTTCAACCGGCCTCGCTTCCGCCAGCCTTGTCGAGACTTTCCGCGGGCTCCCGCTGCTTCGTCCGCCCCAAAATTTTCTTGGAGGGCATCCCCTGGAGTCTCCGCTGGCCGTGGTCGGCCCGCTGCGCCACTCTGCTGCGATCTTGTCCGCGCACACGGCGGGGCTCCGGATTCCGCTCTTTGTGCAAGGCATGCGTATGCAAATGCACGGATGTACGTGCTCAGAGGGCGCGCTTCAAAATCTTACGCGAGCAAGGGGAACCCTAACGGGGCTCTACTGAACCACTGCAATAAACAAGAGCGGACAAAGTCAAACGGTCCTTCACACCAAAGAATGATGACCAAACGAACCCCGTGCGCTCGGCAAAGCAAGAGCTTCGTGCGATCTCCGAGATGCTGATCCTGAACACGAGATGCTGGACCAAGTCGGTTGAAATACGAATCAGGAACATCATGTGGAGGCCCATTGAATTCAATCGCAAGGTGTAGAGCTTCACAATAGCCATCAAATTCTAAAGACCATCCACGCTGGCCCATCAGGCCGCCGTGATGGAAAGTTGTGACCTTGAAATGTGTTCGAATCCGACAACGTTCCCTCGACACGTCAGGGAGTTCGGGCAAGCGTTAGCTGCGTGGTGAAGCTTCTGATCTTTTCCAAGGGTGGGCCTGGATGATGGAACTTCTGCATTCCGGCACTCGTCTTGGCCTCAATGCGGCTCCAAGACTGCCCAAGGCCCTCCCATGACTGCTGCAAGATGCCCCAAAACGAGCCTAAGATGACCCAGCGACCTCCCAGAGACCTCAATATGTCCCCAAGAGGCCCTCAATCGCCACCAAGAGGCGCGAGCCTCGCCCTCCAACAAGGCGCCAGAAGGCCAACAACATGGGCGAGACACTCCAACATGTTTTGCTTACCCAGCTGTTCGGCCTCAGATGGCCTCAAAGAGATCAAAATGCAGGATAACGCCGCAAAGGGCCCACAAGACAACCCAAACAGAGCTCCAAGAGTGGTCCAGGGCACGACAAGACGGCCCCAAGATGATCCTTCCCAACTTCTTCGGGAGAGCTACGTAACAAATCTCGCTTCGGACGTCTCAAGACTCCAAATCCGACACGAGAAGAATTCAACAGGCCCCCGAGAGGTCTCCTAGGATCCGCCAAAAGGCATCCGAGACGCCCGTCAGAGACTCTGACGGGCGTCTTGGATGCCTTGCACATGGACTCTGACTCAGAGTCCATGTGCAAGGCATGCAACGCTACGGCCGCATCCTAGCTGCCATGCTACAATGTCTGAGCGCTGCGTCACAGGGAGCCCTGTAATGGGTCTACCAACCCTGTCCGGGACATCTCGGTGTGTGCATCTCGATGCCGCGATGGGACGTGGCTGGGGATTGCCGCAGGCAGCTGGACATGCGTCTGATGTCCTTCTGGCCCTTCCCAGGAGCACAGCACGGGCACCGATTTCCCTGACACTTGACGTGACTCAACGATGACTCCCACTCATGGCCCTCTTGGCAGCGCCAACGCGTACGCGTATAATGGTTCCTGCGCTCCCGGGACAGGCAAGCCCCGCCACGTGCTGAGGCCACACCGCGAGCAACCTCCAGCATCTGCATGCGGCACGTACGCCTGTCCGTCGCGCAGGCCTCCTCTACTAGACTTGCCGTTCGCCAGGGAGGTGTACCATCGGTGTCCTTCGGCACGTTGCCAACTCAACTTGCCCCTCACGTGAGCGCGGAAGGTTGACAAACGTTGCCCCCCACGGGCTGCAGCCAATCTCCGCGCGTCGTTGAAAGTCAGCCTTCGTTTGGAACATCAAGGGCACCACGTCAACTTGTTCTTGACATCTCCTAACCTGGCCATCCATGTGTGGCCGACTGCGCATTGCCATTGCAGAGGTATTTGAGAATTCATAAGCTCACTCGGCAAGCTGCGCCCACCTCTAGATACTGCGAAGTGAACGACATGATCTAAATAACGCCGCATGTTCCCTGAGCAGTGCGGACACCAAGATCCGCCGTGGCGCAGACGCATCAATGGAGCAGTCCGTTGGTGTCCTTCCGCGCATGGCCACCTCGTCGGCGACTTGAATCCCAATAGAAACTCCCAAGAGGCAGCGCCCGCCGCGCAACACTGCTGCCTCTTGGGCGACAGCCAATCCAAGTCTATGGCGTGCCAGCAGAGGGAAATACGCATCCTGTGCAAATAGACATCCTCCAGCCGGGCTGAGCTTAGGCAAGTCTAGCTTGAGTCATCCCGACGGGGGTACCACGGCACGAACCTTCGCCCGTGCACAGGAAGGCCCACGAGGCCCCCAAGTCGGCCCCGAGAGGGGCCCCGCCGGGAACACACAAACAAAACTTTGGAGGTGACTCCCTAAGCCGCCTAAAGGCCCACAAGGGGCCTCCAAGGACCCCAGGAGGCCCCATCAGGCTGCCAAAAGGCCCCCGAGATGCCCCAGGCAAGCCTCCAGGAGGCCCCCAGGAGGCCTCTCAAAGGACCCCACGATGCCCCACGCGCCGTGCCGCAAACCAGAGCGTCGTGCCGCCGGGCCGGGGTGCCGAGGGCCCGCCGAGGCCGCCGCAGGAGACGGGGCATGAAGTGAAAGGGGTCCTGGATGGTTTCGCCGGTGTCGGGACCCTGGGTCCCTCCACGGGCCCTAGGCCCCAGGACCGTCACAGCGTCACAGCACGATCCAAGATGAATAACTTGGTAAGGCGTCGGCCTGCGCACAGACGGCACCCCCAGGTGGCCCCCGAATGGTCCCAGCTGGCCTCAACAGGCCCAACCAGTAGTCTGGGGCGGTCTCAACACCCTAGCACCGCCTCCGGCGGCGCCCCTGGCGTCTCCGCGCCCCAGGGCTGAGGTGCGGAAACCACCCCAGACTGCTCGGGGAAACTGTGGGGGCCAGCTGGGGCTACTCGTCGGGCATGCTGAGGCCAGCGGGGGCGGACGGAGGAGGACGAGAGAGAGAGGAGAGAGATGGGAAGGAGGAGGAGGAGGAGAAGGAAAAAGATGAGGAGGAGAAGGAGGAGGAGGAGGAGGAGGAGAAGGAGGAGGAGGAGGGTGAAGGAGGATGATGATGAGGAGGAGGAGAACGAGGAGGAGGAGGAGGAGGAGGAGCAGGAGGAGGAGGAGGAGGAGTAGGAGGAGGAGGACCCGTTGCGAAACCCGACGCCTCACCAGAAGAACTGGTCCCGGGAGGGCGCCCAGGGGTCTGAGACCCGTCTCTCTCTCTCTCTCTCTCTATCGGGAACCCTGCCCTTCACGGCGACGAGGGGCGATCGCGCGCGCGGTGCGCGCCCGCGCGCGAGGGGGCGCCTCTCGCTGGCTGGGATGGGGAGCCCGTCCGGCAGGAGGTAGTCCGGGGGCTCCTCCCGCTCCACGACCTCGGCGGTCCAGGGCCTCCTGGCCTCGCGGCCTCCCTCGCCTGCTCCTTTTCTGCGTTAGTGGGCGCTGGGAACAACTCGTCTGCTCCTCCTGGGTCTCTTCCTCCAACCCCTCTATCCTCCTCCTCCTCCTCCTCCTCCTCCTCCTCCTCCTCCTCCTCCTCCTCCTCCTCCTCCCCCGACTCATTCCTACTCATCCTGCTCAGCTTCCTCCTCCCTTCCCTCCTGCATCCTAACCTTCACTCCTCCGCATTATCATCATCACGCTGCTGCTCCTAGTCCTTGCCCTCGTCCTCCTACTCTTCTTCCCATGCAATACTCAAACTTCTGCTGAGGCTCCTGATCCTGATCATGCTTCTCCTTCTCCTCCTCCTCCTCCTGCTCCTCCTCCTCCTCCTCTTCCTCCTCCTCCTCCTCCTCGTGATTCCGTTGCTTCTCCGCTGCCGAGCTCATCCCTTCGTGCTCGTCGGCAGCCCCTCGTTCGGCAGGGGTGAGCTCTCCTGCTGGCGCCCGAGCGAACTTCGCCTACACCACCCCCGTCCCCCGCCGGCCCGGTCAAGCACCGAATCGCGGGCGAATAGCGCCGCCGTCTCAGATGCGGCCACCGAGCCAACACGACGCGAGCACTCCCAAAGGCCCCTGGAGTCCTCGGGGCGCGTCGGGAGGCCTCTGGATGGCCAGCGAAGGCCGACACCAATATCCGAAGACCTCTACCCTCGACCCTCGATCCTCCCCCTCCTCGATCCCCCTCCTCGTACCCATCCTCGACCATTCTCCTCATTCCTCCTCCTCCTCCTCCTCCTCTCCTCCTCCTCCTTGCAGTCCAGGAGGAGGAGCCCCGAGGATCGATCTCCGGAGCCACCACAACATTCGAAGACCTCGACCCTCGGCCCTCGATGCTCCTTTTCCTCCTGTTCCAGTCCACTGGACGAGGTGAAGGAGCAGGAGGAGAAGGAGGAGAAGCATGAGAAGGAGGAGGGGGAGGGGAACGAGGAGGGGCAGGAGAGGTAGGAGGAGAAAGAGTACCTAATCTGTACCATCTGAGCACTCCTGATGATGCCAGGACTCGAGGGCCAAACTCACACCGAGGGGAAATCCATACCGCAGATTGAGGGTAATCCTCGGGACACGCCAGACACGACACTGGCCCCAGCTTTGGTGGGGCAAGGCGAGGGCCTTCCTTCCAATCGTGATACTACCACTGGGCACGCTTCACCAATCTGCACGGCAGTCATTGCAGCATATTCCCCGCAAATTTCGCAGAACAGAAATCCAGAGAAAACCAACAAAACATGCGACGAGTGGGCCTTTCTTTTATAGCAGCAGGGTGCAACGCGACTCTGTCACGGCCAACCTGCTGGCTTAACACTAAGGGGGGCCTGGCATCTGCTTGGCCAGAAGCTGCAATCCTGGCCTCTCGTCGTTTCGAACTTCAGCTTGCAGATGGTGCAAACAAACCTGGTACCCACAAATCGCGGGGCATGACCAACAATGACGAGCCTCCTCTTCCGAGTGAGATCGGAGGGGAGGGAAGGAGGATGTGGTAGGGGCCATCCCGCACGATCAGACTTCAGCCTCTGAGAAGTGAAACTAACGTCCAAAGTGACCGCTAGAATTGGGTCGGGCATGTCCCCCTACAGGCGAATTTTTGACGACAAACATACTCCAACTATATATTCCAAAAATTCTCAAAAGATCGTTCCCATACTACTTTTTACAAACTTTGAATCTTCTTCCTGAAGAGGGACAAATCCGACTGAACGCTAGACTGCGCTGCACTGTTCGGGCGGTCATACCACCTGCCTCATTCGGCACCTCCACACTCCCAGGAAGGACTCCTCCTGAGGCGGCGGCCCTCCCAGGGAAGAAGACCAGCACGGCAATCCAGGGCGCACTCCTCCTCGGACATGCCCCAAGCTTGTCTCGGGGGCCCGCTGGGACGGGCGCCCACGGGCCCTCGATGTGCCCATCCCGGGCGTCTGACAGCTCTGAGATCTGAACCCAGGGTTCCAACACCGGGGACCTCTGGGCCACATGCGAACGGGCACGTGTACGGCCCAGCCCCGGACGAGAGGGAGGCAGTCACTACAGGCGACCCCAAGCCCATGGGAATACCTCAGAAGCAAGATAACCGCGTGAAGCTCGGCGCGGGGGCTTGACTGAGCCCGGGGCTGTAAGGTACGTGCCACATAACACTGCACCGCACTCAAGCCCAACGTCGTCAACGCTAGCTTCATCAAGCCGAACTGCCGACCAGCCGCGCCGACGCAACCGAAGATCCTCGGCGAACTTCACCCCTGGGCCGCCGGGCCCGCACTTGCCCCGATGCGCAGCGCCGCCATCAGAGACGAGACCCCAAGATTGACAGATACCGCGTGGTGGAGGCACTGGGTCGACAGCAGCAGCAAGGGCAAGAGTACTTCGATGCCCAAATTCTGACCTTGCATGCTCATCGCGCAAGACCGTCTGAACTAAATCCTGGGGCCTGAGCTCGCGAGTGGAATCGACAGCACCATTGCAAGAGCACCCCCCAAACACGGCGCAATGCGGTTTCTTTTTTCGCAACCCCAGATATCGGACATAATCCCTGCGTTAAGAATCCTGCATCCTGAAGCCGAGCCTCAGGCCACGCGGCGCCGCTTCCGAACGCCCACCCCCCCCACGCCCCTCCTTCCTTCGCCGTGCCTGTATGCATCCGCCTGAGCACCGTTAAGTCCGCTCCGCCTTCCAAACCAGCGCCGCCGACGTGAAGGGAATCCTTGCTCCATGCCACGCGGTTCCGCGCGGAAAGGTGATGCTCGAAATCTGGATCTTCAATGCAAGGATTGCCAGCGAGAATGGGCCAAGAGGGAAGCGAATCTGAAGCCCGCTCAAGATCCAATGTGGTGCAACCTGCGCCGGCAATGGGCCCCTTCACGGTCCCCCAGCGCCTCTGAGCACCTAAGCGAGAATGTCACTCCCTCTGCTTCTTCCCTGCGCGGCAGCGTGCCAAACATCAGCACTGCCCTGGAATAGCTCCTCCCTCGTGCGGAACACAAGGTCATCATCCGCATCATCATGAGTAGCCCGTGTAATAATAATCCAACCCCCAGAGCCCCAAAGGCCAGAACACTGGGCCGCCTGGGAGCGAACGCTCTGGATATCGGCCATCGCAAGGCCCGTGGCAGACGTGGCTCCAAGATCGAAATGAAAGAACTCCAAATGCGTGAATCTTCCTAGCTTCACCGCAAAGCCTAGCCCGGTACGCCAACTCGCGCGATCGCCTAACAAACTATACGACGGCAAAGCTTGAACTGCCACGTGCATTTCCACTCCCCCCAGATCCTTTACCTGGGACACAAGGGTGACTGGAACATGTTCCTCCTTGTTTTTTTTTTATATATATATATATATATATATATATATATATGAAAAACGACGGTCTCGAGCGCACGGGGTGGGGGATGCGACGCTGGCCGACTTTGCAGAGACAATGGAACCAGTGGACTTCGCGTCCGAGAAGAAGGACGCAGCAGCACCACCTGTCAGAACGGAGAGAATATGACGACGAGTCCGTTGCACTGTTGCGCGGTACCATGCACGTACGATCGGGCGCTGACGATGGGCAACCTGCGGGAAGCACGATCGAGCACGTGGCGCAGATTAGATTTCACCCGCGGCATTGACTGGGCACGCCCTGCGAGGATCGAACGGCCCGCGGGAATCACATCCGACATCGCGCCGACAACCCCCAAGCAACCGAGGATCAGCGTGGACGAGGATGCCGAACACACAAGAGGTGAGCAGGAGAGTCGAGCTCCAGGGCAAGCTGCACAAGCAGCTAGGGAAACACCACAGCAGAGAAAGTCCCCACATATCCCGATTGAAGGCAACTGACTCGAAACCAAACGACCCTGTTAGGTGACCACATGTGAACCCTACTCCCACCCTCCCCACGATTTCTAAGGGAGGGTGGGGGCTCACTTCGCTCGGGAGGACTTCGCGCGCGCATCAGCCACCGACTTCGGGAGCATTGCCAGAACGGTCAAAAAGAACTGCTGCGGGAAGGCCATCAGGTTATTGCACCGTTTGAAAATTGCAGCGAGCCCAAACAGAACTTGGTTGGGCAGGTCCATAACGCCGTCGAAGACCACTGGCCGACCCCCCGCAGAGGTCGGGAAACGCATGGCCGCATATCATCGGGGTCGAGCTCAGGATCCTGTACGAGCGCCGCGTGAGAACGGGCCCGCAACTCGGGCAACGCATCGTTCAGAAATCCAGATGACCAGGAGATGGAGACCACATCTTGCCCCAGACAACCTGGCGATGCTCCATCGTGCCAGGGGCCACAAGGTATTCCACGCTGAGTGTGTCGCGGAGTCACTTCGTGACTCCTTCATGGCTTGCAGCGCGAATTCCCAAGAAAACTGAAGCCAAATCTGCATCGGCGCGATCTATTCGTCGACGCGCAAGGCCGGGCGCCACAGGAGGAGCAAGCAAATCATCATGCCTGCGCTTAGCACGACCTGGGCTCTGAAGCGCCTCAGCGCGAGAAAAAGCGCTGCCGGCAGAAGCTGGAAGATGAGACGGCGACCGGCGAGCATGTCCTGACTGGGACCCACGTCCCATTGCGCGCCAGAACGCATCGAGCCTAGAACGCGCAATGGACTAAAAGCGGAACACAGGGAACGTTGATGGCGCGCTTGTTTGGGCCACGCCTCCAGATGGACGCGCGACGACGATGCAAGGCGCCACCGCCGCCCACGACGCGATCCACGTTCTCCAGAAAGGCGCAACTCCTGGAAACGTAAATCTTTTAGAAGCTCTAAACTACAGAGCGCGGGTCCTCAGACAGCGGGATGCTGGCGCGAGCCACGGCGTTAAGGCTGCAGAAGGCAACCAGCGGTAATCACATGGGCCTATTCTGAAGTCCGAATGCAAACGCGCGAGTGCCGCCTGCCCCCCGGGGGCAACTTCATTCATCCTGGGGTAACAAAAAAAAGCGTGCACGGCACTGCCACACCTGTTTGGACGCGCCCCTTGTACGTGTCGTGGCCCGCACGTGGTTGGGTCATTCGTCCTCCCCTCCCTTCGATGCTCGATGCTGCGGCATCTGGTGACTTCTTGAGGCTCAGCCCTGCCCCCCCAGGCGGCACCTTCGCCGCTGAGGAGGGGCGGCAGCTCAGCCCTGCCCCCTCCCCCCGGCGGCACCCTCAAGTGATTTTTGCTTGTCAAAGGCGGCGCGTCTTGCGAACCATCCGACGCATGGCCCACATACAAGTAAAGAGCCACCTGTAATCCAGGAGGGGGCGCAGGAGCGCGTTGCAACTGATGGTGTAAACCTGATGCAACTGTAGTAGCAATGCAGTTAGTGTTCACGTTGGGGTACCTGTAATGCAAAAGTGCTGTACAGGTGATATGTGTGTCTGTCACTGTTGCACTTGAGTCCTCTGGCGCATGCCCAAGCGCGATTTCCAATCCCAGTGGGCCCCCCCAAACTGTGCTGATTCCGTGCAATCTTGATCCCAGACAGCTCCGCCGCACTCCCGGGGGCGCGAGCGGAATCTCCGGGGGGGGGCCAGCGTGAGCGACATGCTGTCTGGGTAAATGTAGTGTGCATGTAGTGTAAGTGTAGTGCGCATGTCGTGTATATGTAGTGTGGTTGGTTGGGTGGGTGGGGGTAGTGGGGGGGGGGTCGAGCAAATTCGGTGTAAAAGAATTGAACATGTTGTGTAGAAGTAGTGTACATGATGGGTCAACTAACTGTATATGTTCAATGAATGTCGGGCCTCTTCGGTAAATCGGACGGGCCCTTGCGTAATTTGCTGCTCGGGGGGCTAACAAGGAGCGCGCAACAAATAATGCCGCGCATGTGCTTGCACTCAAACGGGAAAGCCGCTCCCCGTCGGACTTAATCTTTTTTTTTGCGAGATCGAAAAATGCTCACTCGCCGCCCTTTGCAGCCTCAACAGGCCAAGGAATGAGCCGAAGCGACCTCCTTCAGGTGAGAAGGAATGTGAAACTGATAGCCGCGCTTGCAGGCATGGCCTAGGCAGCGAGGCCAAGAGAAGATCTTGCCCGCGCGCGGGAACCATCGCTCGAGGAAGCGGGCGCGCCTTGAACGGTGTGTCCCGGTTGCCTGCGTTCGCGCATAACGGGGTCAAATCCGTCGAGCAAGCAACATCATCAATCATGGTGCACCCGACGCTGCAGGTGAACTCCACATCACTTGGGACCACTGTCCTCGCGCGAGCCATATCCAGGAACCCCAGCTCGCCCAGGAGACAAGGATGCATGTCAAAGCCCCCGTCGAGGACCCACGGGATCGGCAAGGTGTTCGCAAAAACGGGAATCTGCTTCAGACGGTTCAGGTTCTCACCCGCGGCCCCCATCGACGCCGCCAGATAAACCGCTGCAACAGAATCCGAGCAACCGCGTACCTTCTGCCCCAGGAAAAAACAGCACGTCCCAAATCCGAGACTGGTGCCGAGAATCGCTCAAGCTTTAAACTGGTTTGGGCGAAGCACGCCATTCCTCCGTGGGCACCACCTCCAGGAGACGCCATGGCATCTGGACGAAAGGCGTCCAACGTCCTTCTCGGCCTTCTCGGCCCCCTCGGGGCGGAGGCGGTGCTCTGCAACGGACACTGCGTCCGCCTCCGAGCGGCGAGTTGGCAGTGCTCCCTGGGCGATGCTGGACCAGCTCGAAACTTTCACAGGCAGGAACTCTAGACCAGAGGATCGGGTACGATCGCGCCCCCGCTTGGGGCGCAGGCACGGGTTCGAATGCTCTGCGCCTGGCTGGCCGGACCAGCCTGGCGCCCCAGGGATGGCAGAGCGCTGGGCGGCCGCCGCCCGACAGAAGGCAGCGAAGGTGTGGGCGCTCTGGCTTTGCACGTCGCGCCTCGCCTTATTGGCGGCACGCTGTACTGGCTGCTTGCTGGCCAGCTCTCCGTATCGCTGCGAGGCAGGGGCGCCGAGGCCTCCGCACTCCGCAGCATGCTCACGCCAATCCTTGGGCTATCCAAGCTCGTTCCCAGGAGTATGGGCATCACCTGCATCCCTGCTGGCATCGGGCATGTCCACTTCCTCCGCCCGCTGCGAGGTCGCGACCTCTCGCCTCTCATGCCTTGGGGCGTTGGTGAGGCTGGACTTTTTGCACGAACTTGTCCAGGTCCCCTTCAGCGCCCATTCGGCTTCACGCAAGAGTGACCCTGGGTAAGAGTGACCTTTAGTGCGCGGATCAGGGGGGCGCAAGGTGGCCAAACCTGGGTGCGGAAGCTGCTGCTACCGCTTCGCCCTGCACGGTCGGGAAGGCCCCGATGAGCCCGCACCAAGGGTCACTCTGGCGAGGGGCCACTCCTACGTTTAGTCGATCCATTGCCAGTCGATCCCGCCGAGGCCGGCGAAGCCGGGCTGAGGTGGGCCCTCGGGAGTCAGAGGGGCAGCGCCCGCGCCGCCTGCGGGAGGCGCCGCGCCTGCGGGGGGGGGCCCGCCAGTGGCGCGTCCAGGCTGCGGGGGCGCGCGTGCCCGCAGCGCCTGCGCCCTCCCCGGCGGCATGCCACCGCCGCCCTCAGGCTCAAAGGCCTGGCGGGCTGCCTGTTCCCGAGCCTGCGCAGCTGCACGGTGCGCAGCCCCCCCCCCCCCTCCAGGCACAAACAGCAGCACGGAGCTCCGTGTCGCCGAAGCTCTCCTTGCACTCCACCGCCTCTTGACCCCCGCCGACGCAAGGGTGAGCCACTCCGTCGCCTCAGCAAGAGCACGCTCAGCACGCTCAGCCGCCTCGCGAGCATTGACCAGATAGGCGAGTTTGATCTCCACCTCGCCCTTCGCGACCCGCTCCTTCTTGGTCGCCGCCCCCACCGCCTTCTGCAGAGGCCGCACGATCGGCAGATTTGATTGGTCCATCTCAGATGCCGTAGCTGGTGGGAGTGCCTCGACCGTCTTGGGAACGACGCCCGCCACGGCGGTCTCGAGCACCCCTGCCATCGAAGGGAGCTTGGTGGCTTGCGTCTGCAACTGATGGTCCAGAGCACCAAGATCCCCATGGTGAACTTGGGATGAGACGAACGACCATCGCCATCACCAAATTCACCGTCATCACGATACGCACCACCGCACTTGCTGCACGACGAATTCCCGTGTTTCTCATACTCCCTATGGGCGCAAACTGAACAAGCGGAATGCCACTGACGACGCTGGGCAGGCCGCTGGCTGCCTCCGTCGCCCCACGAACTCCACGATGCTTTCTATTCCGAGGCGCATCACGGCGCAACGACATGACACGTAGCTGCTCGGACGGGAGCTCACGAAGGACTCTTGGCCGATCGCTAGCGCACACCCTAGCGTCGGAGAGAGAAAGGTGAACGACTGCTGCGGGTTAGCAATATCCAAGCCACGGGCAACAAGCATCTTGAGCCAAAACGGCTACGGAGGAGGAGGAGGAGGTGAAGGAGGAGGAGGAGGAGGAGGAGGAGGAGAAGGAGTGGCGAGGAGGAGGAGAAGGTTGACTAGGAGGTCTGCAATCCTGGAGGAAGAGGAAAAGGAGCAGGAGCAGGATCAGGAGGAGAAGGAGCTGAGCACCGAGGATCGATCCTGGAGGGAAGCGCGGCACGGCCTCGCGAGCATTCTGCCTCGGGTGCCGCCCGCCGAGCCGAGCTCTGGGCCTCGAAGCCCTCCGGTAAGTCGGCCTCGCCCAGCGTCTCCCCGCGCGCGAGGCGGCCGTTGAGGGCGGCGACGGTGGCCTCCGCGCGCAAGGCGGCCCATGGGCGGCTGCAGCGGAGGCGGGCAGCCCAGGGGCCAACGATCTCCGACGACGTGATGTTTGCAGCCCAGGCGTGGATTCCTCGACATCGGCCTCCGGGGCCCGATGCTGGGCCCAGGGACCAGACCTCTGGGCTCGCGCATGCAGCATCACATCGCCAGATGTCTGCAGGCAGCTCTGCACGTATCGACGGCGGGACGAGCTGGCTCCAGACATGCAGGGCCGCCCACGTTTTCGACGGGGCTGCCAGCAAAGAAGATACCAACGGTGCAAACATCTTGCGATACAAAAGCCTGGGGTGGACACGGTCTTCGCCGATGCTTGAGGGTCCAAGGTGCCCGAGAGCTTCCCCAGGGCCAAGAAAATCCCACCAGCCCTCTGTGCGTAGGTGGTTTAAGGCGGTTCCTCTTCCACCCCCCTTTCTTCCCCTTCGGGGATGGGGTTTATCATTGTTCCCAATGAATAAACACCCCCTCCCCCAGGCCACTTGTAGCCAACCCAGAATCATGATGGGCTCCCCCACCCATCCCTTGTAAAAAAACATACAAGGCACACTCTGCCTCCACATTGGGAGCATGCGCAGCCAACCCGATGCGGCCTCCCCCCGCCATCCCTGTCAAACAAACAATACAGAGTACACTTGGCGGCGGCGGCGGCGGCGGCGGTGGCGGAGGCGGCGGCGGGGGCGGCGGCGGCGAAGGCGGCGGCTGCGGCGGCGGCGGCGGCGGCGGTGGCGGTGGCGGCAGCGGCTGCGGCGGCGGCGATTTGGCAACGGGGGCGGCTGCGGAAGCGGCGGCGGCGACGGCGGCGGGCAACGCGGCGACGGCGGCGGCAACGGCGGCGGCGGCGGCGGGCAGCGACGGCGCTGGCTGCGGCGGCGGCGGAGGCGGCGGCGGCTGCGACGGCGGCGGTCGAGGAGGCGGCAGCGGCGGATTGGCCCCCAGTAGCTGCCCATCCAACGACGACTGCTGAATATGCTGCGGTTCGGGCCAGGTTCGGGTGGCACGTATGTGATGGGAGGGCGGGTGGGAGTGAGCGAGACGGCTTGCGGGAGGGGAGAGAGTCTTGATCATTGCTCCCTATTAATATACACCCCCTCCGCCAGGCGACTGGGAGCCAACCAGGAACAATGTGGGCCCCCCCCCCGCCATCCATTGCACAAAAGAATACAAACCACACCCTGCATCCAAAATCGGAGCATGCGCAGCCAACCCGATGCGGCCCCCCCCCGCCATCCCTATCAAACAAACAATACAAAATACACTTGGCGGCGGCGGCTGCGGCGGGGGCAGCGGCTGCGGCGGAGGCGGCGGTAACGGCTGCGGTGGCGGCGGCGGCGGCGGCGGCGGCGGGGGCGGCGGCGGTGGCGGCGGCGGCGGCGGTGGCGTCAGCGGCTGCGGCGGCAGCGGTTGCGGCGGCGGCGACTCGGCAGCGCGGGCGGCGGCGGCGGCGGACAACGACTCCGGCGGCGGCGGCGGCGCGGCGGCGGCGGCGCGGCGGCGGCGGCGGCGGCGGCGGCGGCGGATTCGCCCCCAGTGGCTTCCAAACCAAAGACGATTGCTGAATCTGCTGCGGATCGGACCAGGCTCGGGTGGTACGTATGTGTCGGGAGGGCGGACTGGAGTGAGCGAAACGGCTCGCGGGCGGGGAGGGGGTCTTGACCCCTGCCCCTTACCCGAACCCTACCCCCTACCCCTAACCCTGGCCCCTTAACCCTAACCCTAACCCGAATCCCTGACCCTAACCCTAAGAACTAACCCTAACCCTAATCCTTCTCTAACCTCTAACCCTGGCCCTGACCTCTAACCCTTACCCTAAGCCCTAAGCTGACCCCCTAAACCCTAACCCTCTAACCCCCAGACCTTCCCCAACCCCTACCCTACCCCTAACCGTAACCCTAACCCCTACCCGAAACCCTAACACCAACCGAATCCTTATTTCCTATGACTAAACACCCCCACATCCCCACCGAGCCGGCCGATAGCAACCCCGCCGTCCCAACTGTCAAAAAACCGCGACCTCACTTTCTTCCTCGCCGGCATGTCGTCGAATTGCCAAAAACAACAAGAATGGGACGGAATAGACATCGCTCGGTTAACCCTAAGCGGGTGGTCGCGTCCTACCCATCAAAAGCAATGCAATTTCAGCGTTTTTCTCGTCAGCATGGACTTTCTTGTCGTCGACGCTGCGAAAATGTAGCAGGAATGGGACGCGGCGCACATCGCGCGCGGACGCCTGGCCAATCCTACGCGGGACCCCCCGTCCTACCTGTCAAAAAACACCGCAACGTCGATGCTTTTCTTGCCAACGTGTACTTTCTCTTCGTCGGCGTTGCGAATCTTGGCGGTGCAACGCGCGTGGCTGGAATGAGACGCGGCGCACTTCGCGCGCTGGACATGTTGTCGCCGACGATGCAACATGAGAGGCCAGAGCGAGGCGCGGCGTACATCGCGCGCGGTTTTGTTTCTCGTCGACGTTGCTCAATACGCGGCAGGAAAAGGACGCAGCTCATGTCGCGCGCTGAACGTCTAGCCGCCCACGATATAAGATGAGCGACAGGCGTCGGACGCGACGCACTTGCTTCTTTTGTTGTGGGAGGGCGGGTGGGAGTGGACGGAGCCCTCTGGCTCGTTCGAGCTGGCTAACTTGACCACTCCCCCTACCCCCTCCCCTGGAACTGTACGGGGTGCCCCGCGAGCAGTCAGGGCGTCCAAAGCGGCCTCGGCGAGGAAGCCCAAATCATTGGTTTTACTATGGTTTTGGCTTCGTTCTGGCCTCTTGGGGAGGCAAGGCTAATTCAGGACCCCCCCTTCTTTGATCGATCTCCTCCGATATGGCCCCACGAGCGCTCCGGAGGCTCCCAAGGGTGCCCCAAGAGGGCCCTAAGGCCCTAAGAGGTGGCCCAAGAGGCTCCCAAAAGACCCCCAAGAGGCCCCAAGAGGCCCCCCAGAGGCACCCAAGACGCTCCAAGAGGCCTCGGCGAGAATGCCAAAATCATTGATTTTACAAAAGGTTTTGGCCACATTTTGGCCTCCCGGGGGAGAAGGCACTGATTAAGATGACTCCATGAGCGCCTGGGAGAGCCCAAGATGACCTCCAAGATGGCTCAAGATACCCCAAGATGTTTCAAAATGGCTACCACGATGCTCCAAGAGTCCCCAAGACCGCTTCAAGACGGCTCCAAGTTGCCAAAGAGCTCCCCCAGGAGGCCCCGAAGAGGCCCAAATCCTTCCAAAACCTTGCGAAAATCAATGTGTTTGGCTTTCTCACCTTTCCGATTCCAATGGCCATCCGAGGCCTCAAGATGGCTCCAAGATGGCCCAAGAGGGCTCCAAGAGCGCTCCCAAGACTCCCAAGAGCGCTTCAAGAGGGCCCCAAGAGGCGCCCAGGAGGCCCCAACAGGCGCCCAAGAGGCCTCCGAGAGGCTCCCAAGAGACCCCCAAGAGGCCCAAAGAAGCTCTGCGAGGCACCCACGACGCTCTAAGAGGCGTCCGGGACCGCCAAGACGCTCCAAGAGGCCTCCACTGGGGGACCGTTCCTCTGTGTGCTGCCCACTTCCCTGATCGAGGCAAGTCCTCTGGGCATCGTTTCTGGATGGGCTGGTGGGGTTATGCGAAGCGTCTAAAATTTCCGTGGGGCACCTGCATGAAGGTTGATCTCTCAGTGGAAGTGCTCCGATCGCCCATGTGTTCGAGTCTTCGGCAAGGCTCTCACCTCCTGCATCCGCCGAGCCAGGCCCGAGCAGCGGGGCCTGGCGCGGGCGGTCGGGGCTTGATCTCCGCACCCTCCTCGCCCTCGCTCCTCGCTTCTTCGGCCTTGGCGGACGCTCCTCGTCGCCTCGGCTGGTCGCAGCTCGAACAACTGGCCGAGATGGACCCTGGCCATCCCCGTCCTCTCTCCCTCCCTCCCTCCCTCCCTCCCTCCCTGCCTCTCCATCCTCCTTCCCCTCCTCGTCCTCCTCCTCCTCCTCCTCCTCCTCCTCTCCGTCCTCCGTCCACCTCCTCCTCCTCCTCCTCCTCCTCCTCCTCCTCCTCCTCCTCCTCCCTCCTCCTCCTCCTCCTCCTCCTCCTCCCTCCTCCTCCTCCTCCTCCTCCTCCCTCCTCCTCCTCCTCCTCCTCCTCCTCCTTCTCCTCCTCCTCCTCCTCCCCCCTCCTCCTCCTCCTCCTCCTCCTCCTCCTCCTCCTCCTCCTCCTCCTCCTCCTCCTCCTCCTCCTCCTCCTCCTCCACCTCCGCCTCCAGCGAGGGGCGGAGTCATTGCGCCCTGAACATTGGCGCTAGTGCGTACCTTCAACGCTCTGCGCCGGTCCCCCATGGAACGCGGTTGCTCGCAGCAGGCGGCAGCTATCTCTAGGGGGGAGGGGCGCACCAGCCACGGCCTTTGCCTGGCGCTACCCAACAGCTCGGCGGTGCACGCTCCTCGTTCTCCTCGTCCTCCTCCTCCTGCTGCTCCTGCTGCTCCTGCTGCTCTTCCTCCTCCTCCTCCTCCTCCTCCTCCTCCTCCTCCTCCTCCTCCTCCTCCTCCTCCTCCTCCTCCTCTAGGTCCTCTAGGTTTGGCGGCGCACCACGTCCCTCTGCTGCAACACGTGGCACAAAAAGGGGGTGAGAAATCACGCACGGCACTTAGAGGGGTCTCTCTCTCTCTCTCTCTCTCTCTTAAGGGGGAACGATCGGCCAAATTCCGCACCTGTGGATGGGTCAATCCCGCCTTTGAGGAGACTCAAGGAGTGAGACGCATCCTTATTCCGAGGCCCGCCGTTGCAGGCCTTGGCGAGGAGGACCACCTTCTTAGTGCCGAACGCCCCACAGACACAGCACCACACTCGGCCTCCGTCACCACTCCAAAGCCGATGGGAGGGGTGAGCCAAACGAGCGGGTCTGGGGAGTCCAGTACAGGGCAACGCCGAAATCGCATTTCTCGACCAATCTCGAATTCCACATCGCACGCAAACGGATCTCTTGCCCACTCGCACAAAGTCGTGCCCATTGGGCTCAGACACGAGTTCTAACACTTCAGGAGCTTTGTACCGCTTCGCGCGGAACTTATCTGCATCATTGAAATTCAGCTTGGATAACGCTCCCCCGACTCCCGCAACCAGAACAGCTCGGCCCCGAACCTGGAAATCGAGGGCTTTCAGCTCGGAAAGCAGCTGCGGGGGGACAGGGTGCATCTTAGCCCCTAGCCTGGCCAGGCGGTCTGCTTCGCGGTTACCTCTCCAGGCCCACCAAGCACAACCTAGAGCAGAAGCCTTGGCCCAGGACTGGTGGCTGCGAATTTTCTCGACAGAGATCGGCGCGGTTAAATCTTCACACCTGCGGAAAATCTCGCGCAAGACCTCAGCGTACGCAACATTGTCTAGGCTCTGGCCACAGCCAGCTTCCCAGATGTCTACGACCATTTACAATCACACACTACATGCACGGGCTCGACCCTCACGTTTTTGATGAGCATGAGCAGAGCATACACTTCGGCACACCCCGACTGCTGCACAAGATGGGGCAAGGGCCCGTATAAGGCCCCGTCCCACCCCCCATGGCGATCCACCTGGACGATCCCCCAACCAGCCCTCTCCAGCGCGAGGTCTCCAGGGGAGAAGGCCGATCCGTCGATCGCCACGTTGCCTCGGAAGACGCCATTGGGGGGTAAAACACTCCAAACTTGAGACTCGTCCTGGCGGGGGGGAGGGGCCTCGAAAGGCCTCCTCCTCCTCCTCCTCCTCCTCCTCCTCCTCATCTCCTCATCCCTTTCCTCCTCCTCCCTCTCCCTTTCCTCCTCCTCCCTCTCCTCCTCTCCTCCTCCTCCTCCTCCTCCTCCTCCTCCTCCCCCTCCTCCTCCTCCTCCACCTCCTGCCTTCCTCTTCCCCCTCCTCCCGCCTGCGCGTAGTCCAGCACGTACTGCCGCAGCGCCTTGGGGAAGGCGTGCCGAGCGAGCCGCAGCGCCGCCACGTGCGAGGACGCCGTGGCCCTGGGGCCGCCGCGAGGCTGCGCGACGATCTCACCCTCAGCGGCCCCGTCGCCTCCGCTGATCGTCCCGATGCCCCTCCTCCGCTGCCTGTCGCCTCTCCTCTGCCCTCTCATCCTCCCGCTCCTCCGCCGCCTCCTCCTCCTCCAGCCGTGGCTTCTGTCATCCGCCTCCCGCCCGGCAAAAGCATCCGAAACGACTTCCGCCATGAATTCGTTTTCGCAGCGTGGCTCCCCAGAGGCCTGGACCCCTTCCCACGGAACGGCTTTTCATCCTGAGTTGCTTTTTGAAGGTCTCAGGGCCCGGCGAGGGCCCCCAGAAACCCCACAGCCAAAAACCTCAAGTCGTGATTGCTCCTGGAGGTGATGGGCTTGTTACTACCACTACCACCATAAGCTGGACGAGGGAGGGGGTCCTCCTCCCCCTCCTCTCCTTCCTCCTCCTTTCCCCCCTCCAACTTATGGTGGTGGTGGTGGTGGTGGTGGTGGTGGTGGTGGTGGTGGTGGTGGTGGAAAACAGGCCCATCAAGAGGGGAGCCCTGGGGGGAAGTCAGAGGGGGCGGGCCTTCCTGGCGGGCTCGGAGGGCCTCTGGCTTCCCTGGGAAACGTTCCAGGCATTCTCCGGAGCCAGCGACGGCCTCTCGGAAGGCAGGAGGGCTGCTGAGAAGCCCTGCTGCCCTCTGAGAAGGCCTGCCCCTTCTAACCTTCCCCCCCACACAGAGATCCGATGTCGTGTTTCCTCCTCGGCGGTGTGACAAACCTCCCTTTAGCAAACCTCCATTCAGTGAAAACGGCCTGGGACCGAAACCGACGGACCTGGACCCGCAAAGATGACAGCCGCGACGCCCTCTCGCGAACCGAAAACGGCCAATTCGCTAATCGACGCGTCAGGGTAGGAGGTCTGTCCACCCTCGATTTTCCAATGCCAGACCTCTGGAAGTCTCGGCCCATTCCCGAGGACCGGATTGTCTTCCTGAGTCGTTTCTGGCCGGTCCCGCGGCCCGGCGGGGCCCCTGGAGGCCGAGAGCTGCGACAAACCTCCGTCTGGACTTTCCTGGCCATCGCTCGGACGTCCATTCCCTGTGCTTTTTTCGGTTTCGTGCGCGGCTGCTTCGCCAAAAAGGGTCAAGGATGCTCCTCGATGGTCCTCGCCAAAGGGAAACATGCACGCGTCCGAGGGGTGCCAAGTTCTTGCCACCATACGTCGGATCTCGGGGCCCCCGGGCGCGCCGCCGAGCGGCCACTCCGCGAGCACGCCGCGCCGCCGCCCTCGGCCGCCCCCCCTCGGGCGCTCCGCGTGCCCGCGCGCGGGCGGGGCGGGGCCTGCCCAGCAGCTGCAGCAGCGCCTGGGTCTGCAGCGCCGGGCCGCAGCAGCCCGCGGTGGGCACCGGGACCCCGAAGTCCGCGAAGGCGGCGGCCTGGGCAGCGGGTGAGCCTTCGCGGGGGCCCCGTGTGGTCGCGGGGGCCCCCGGGAGGACCCAGAGCCCCCCGAGTCGCGAACAAGAAGCACCAGGGGAAGTGTTTGGCTGCGGTTGGGCCCGCTGAGGAGGAGGAGAAGGAGGAGGGGGAGGAGGGAGAGGACGAGGAGGAAGAGGTGGAGGAGGGCCCAAAACATATAGATCACTGATCTGTCTGGTTTCGGCCGCTCTTCCCCCCCCACCCCCTCAGGGACCATGCAAAGCAAAGCGGTTGCACCGCTGAGGAGAACGCGGAAGGGGGCCTTTTGGGGCCCTTGCCAGGTCTCGGGGCCGTCAACCATACGACTCAGGATAACAAAAGTGGTCCCGGGGGGAATCGGTCGAGACATCTGGGGGTCGACGTCATGAACAAATCATGCTGTCGGGGGCCTGGGATGGGAGCCTCTGTGGACCTCTGCGGCCCAATCACAGGCGTGATTTCGACCAGATTTTGTCCAGCGTTCGACAACCCCGTATCACCCTGTCTTCCAGATTTCGTCCAGATCTCGTCCAACTGCGCATCACATGCGACGAAATCTAGAAGAAATCGGGAACTGCCAGGAATGTGGGGACCCTCTGAGGCATCCATGGTGGACCACACTACTGGGCCAGTCGGAGGGCCCCAGGAAGAGGCTACCGCTGAGAAACAACAAGAAACAAAAACGCTGGAAAAAGACTTCCGTTGGAAGGCAGCAGGCTTTGGAAACAAAAAACAAGGGGTCGGAGAGGAGGTCTCGTGTCTCCGTCGTCGGGCCTCTGGGACCGCCGCGCCCCGATTGTGTGGGGGGGTCCCGAGGGTGCGCGCATTCCGATGGTGTTGATACAGTGGAAGCCAGTCCACAAGAAACCTTCCGCAAGAAGCCCAACCCTGAGACCCCAGGATGTCCATTGATTGTTGGTGCAGGGATGACGCGCTTTCCACTGTAAACAAAAACATCCGAACCCAAAGAACCCAGGGCACCCTGGAGGCAAGCAGGGTGTTTCTTGGTATGGACCCCCACTGTAAGCGAATGTGCACGCACAGTGTCTTCTGCAAAAAGGGATGAAGGGTGGGGGGTCGCTAACCTACGGCCTGGGATGGCTGAAATTCATATTCCGGATGGACGACATTGCAGAACCACATCCGGGAGGGAAAGGAGGTAGATCCGAATGTTTTTGGAATGGAAAAAACCAAGTAGTGCAATATGTGCGGTGCAATGTATGTTGTGGAATCTGGACGGCGACGGGGCGGCGACGGCGAGAACATAGCCGCTAGGCCGACGGCCAGGCCCGGACGACGGCCGGCAACGAGGCGGCGACGGCGAGAACATAGCCGTCGGACCGACGGCCAGGCCCAGTTCCTTAGACAAGCAAGGAAAAAACTCTAAGTGCAAGCACTGTTTGGGAATTTATACGTAACGTAGCACCCCGCAGATGCGGATAAGAGTGAGGGGGCGGTGGGGACGTCGGCAGTCTGCGAGATTCTGAAGAAGCCCGCCGCAAGCGCCAAAGCTTCACGAATTGTCGCGGGTGGGTCGCGGGGTGGGTCGCGGGGTGGATCGCCGGGTGGATTTCGGGTGGGTCGCGGTGTGGTGCGCGGGGTAGGTCGCGGGTTGGGTCGCGGGTGGGTCGCGGTGTGGGTCGCGGGGTGGGTCGCGGGGTGGGTCGCGGAGTGGGTCGCGGGGTAGGTCGCGGGTGGGTCGCGGGTGGGACGGCAACAACAACGCAACAACGCATAATCCTCAGCACGAATCCCCACTGCAGCCACGCACCCAGGGACAATGAATGACCGTTCGGCCCCCTCACTCTGATACATATATATATATATATGGATACATACATGTATCCACATACATACACACATATACATACACATCTATTTGCATATGAACAGCCCCTCCCACTCAGCACCCATTCTTACCAGCATTCCCTTACGACCGTAGTGCCCTTTCTGTCCTCCTCATCCTCCTCCTTCTCCTCCCCCTCGTCCTCGTCGTTCTCTCTCACTCACTCCCGTTTTCTATTTCCCAAACATCCTGTGGTGTTGGGTCCTCGTTTTGAAGAGACAGCGCCCCCCCTCCTCCCTCCCTCCCGCTTCCTCCTCCTCCTCCTCCTCCTCCTCCTCCTCCTCCTCCTCCTCCTTTTGGCGCACCCCTCACACGGTTCGTAGCCCCATAAGGAGCTCCACCGAAGGCCCCAGTGGCAGGGTTCGCATGGCGGCCCCGCCCCAATCTGGCGCACCCCTCACACGGTTCGTGGCCTCATAGGGAGCTCCACCGAAGGCCCCAGTGGCAGGGTTCGCATGGCGGCCCCGCCCCATATTGGCGCACCCCTCACATGGTTCGTGGCCTCCTACAGGGCCCAACCGAAGGCCCCAGTGGCAGGGTTCGCATGGCGGCCCCGCTTCATTTTGGCGCACCCCTCACACGGCCCGTGTCCCCATAGGGAGCTCCACCGAAGGCCCCAGTGGCAGGGTTCGCACGACGGCACCGCCCCATTTTGGCGCACCCCTCACACGGATCGTGGCCCCATATGGAGCTCCACCGAAGGCCTCAGTGGCAGTGTTCCCATGGCGGCCCCGCCCCATGTTGGCGCACCCCTCAAAATGGTTCGTGGCCTCATAGAGGGCTCCACCGAAGGCCCCCGTGGCAGGGTTCGAATGGCGGCCCCGCTTTATTTGGGCGCACCCCTCACACAGCTCGTGGCCCCAGAAAGGGGGTTCCACTGAAGGCCCCAGTGGCAGGGTTCGCATGGCGGCACCGCCCCATTTTGGCGCACCCCTCACACGGTTCGTGGCCCCACAGGGAGCTCCACCGACAACCCCATTGGCAGTGTTCGCATGGCGGCCCCGCCCCATTTTGGCGCACCCCTCACACGGTTCGTGGCCCCACAAGGAACTCCACCGACTGCCCCAATGACAGGGTTCGCATGGCGGCCCCGCCCCAATCTGGCGCACCCCTCACACGGTTCGTGGCCCCACAAGGAACTCCACCGACTGCCCCAATAACAGGGTTCGCATGGCGGGCCCGACCCATGTTGGCGCACCCCTCACAAGGTTCGTGGCGTGGCCCCATTAGGAATTCACCTTGCTTCGCCCCACCAGCCCTGCGGCTCTCACACTTGCGTGTGGTTGGGCCCTTCGCAAAGATAATTCACAACCATCCTGTGGTGTTGAGTCCTCGGTTTGAAGAGACGGCGCCCGCGTCCTCCTTCCGCTGCCTGCCTGCCTGCCTCCTCCCTGCGTTTCACCCACCCAGTACAGCGCTTCGTGGCCCCAGAGGGAGCTCCACCGACGGCCCCAGTGGCAAAGTTCGCATGGCGGCCCCGCGTTTTGGAGCACCCCTCACACGGCACGTGTCCCCATAGAGAGCTCCACCGAAGGCCCCAGTGGCAGGGTTCGCATGGCGGGCCCGCGCCATTTTGGCACACCCCGTGGCCCCATAGGGAGCCCCACCGAAGGCTACAGTGGCAGGGTTCGCATGGCGGCCCCGCGCCATTTTGGCGCACCCCTCACACGGTTCGTGGCCCCATGGGGAGCTCCACCGAAAGCCCCAGTGGCAAGGTTCGCATGGCGGCCCCGCGTTGCGGCGCACCCCTCACACGGTTCGTGGCCCCATAGGGAACTCCACCGAAGGCCCCAGTGGCAGGGTTCGCATGGCGGCACCAGCTCATTTTGGCGCACCCCTCACACGGCCCGTGGCCCCAGAGGGATTCCCACCGAAGGCCCCAGCGGCAAGGTTCGCATGGCGGCCCCGCGCCATGTTGGTGCACACTCACGCGGTTCGTGGCCCCATAGGGAGCTCCACCGAAGGCCCTGCGGTTCTCACACTTGCGTATGGTCGGCCTTTTGGCCAAGATAAAGTGTGTTTCTCTCTCTCTCTCTCTCTCTCGTTCTCTCTCTCTCTCTCTCTCTTTCTCTCGTTCTCTCTCTATCTCTCTCTCTCTCTCTCTCTCTCTCTCTCTCTCTCTCTTGGTCTCTCTATGTCTCTTTCTTTTTCCCAGCCATCCTGTGGTGTTGGGTTGAACAGACAGCGCCCCGCGTCCCTCCCTTCCTCCCTCCCGCCTCCTCCTCCTCCTCCTTTTCCTCCTTCTCCTCTTCCTTTCCTGTTCCTCCCCATCCTCCGTGTCCTCCCTGCGCTTCACCCACCCTGTACAGCGCTTCGTGGCCCCATAGAGAGCTCCACCGAAAGCCCCAGTTGCAGGGTTCGCATGGCGGCCCCGCTTCATTGCGGCGCACCCCTCGCACGGTTCGTGGCCCCATTGAGGGCTCCACCGAAGGCCCCAGTGGCAGGGTTCGCATGGCGGCGCCGCTTCATTTGGGCGCACCCCTCACACGGCTCGTGGCCCCATCGAGAGCTCCACCGAAGGCCCCAGCGGCAGGGTTCGCATGGCGGCCCCGCCCCATTCTGGCGCACCCCTCACACGGATCGTGGCCCCACAAGGAATTCCACCGAAGGCCCCAGTGGCAGGGTTCGCATGGCGGCCCCGCGCCATTTTGGCGCACCCCTCACACGGTTCGTGGCCCAACAAGGGGGCTCCACCGAAGGCCCCCGTGGCAGGGTTCGCATGGCGGCCCCGCCTCTTTTTGGCGCAGCCCTCACACGCTTCGTGGCCACATTGGGAATTAACACTGCTTCGTCCCACCTGCCCTGCAGTTCTCACATTTGCGTATGGTTGGGTCCTCGTTAAAAATGACGCCATTCACTCACCCAGTCCAACGCTTCGTGGCCCCATAGGGAGCTCCACCCACCGAAGGCGCCAATGGCGGGGTTCGTGCGGCGGCCTCGGGCCATTTTGGCACACCCCTCGCGAGGACTGTGGCCCCATAGGAGTCCCACCGAAGGCGCCAATGGCAGGGTTCGCATGGCGGCCTGGGGCCATTTCGGCGCACCCATCCCTCACGAGGGCAATGGCGCCATAGGGGCCTCCACCGAAGGCGCCAGCGACGGTGTTCGCATGGCGGCCTCGGGCCGTTTCGGCACACCCCTCACGAGGACTGTGGCCCCATTTGAGGCTCCACCGAAGGCCCCAGTGGCAGGGTTCGCGTGGCGATCCCGGGCCATTTCTGCGCACCCCTCACGAGGATCGCGGCCGCAAGGAAGCTCTACCGAAGGCGCCAATGGCAGGGTTCGCATGGTGGCCCCGGGCCATTTCGGTACACCCCTCGCGAGGATCGTGGCCCCATAGGGAGCTCCACCGAAGGCCCCGGTGGCAGGGTTCGCATGGCGGCCCCGCTCCATTTTGGCGCACCCCTCACATGGTTCGTGGCCCAGTAGAGGGCTCCACCGAAGGCGCCAGTGGCTGTGTTCGCGCGGCGGCCTCGGGCCGTTTCGGCACACCCCTCGCGAGGACTGTGGCCCCATTTGAAGCTCCACCGAAGGCCCCAGTGGCAAGGTTCGCATGGCGATCCCGGGCCATTTCTGCGCACCCCTCACGAGGATCGCGGCCGCAAAAATTCTCCACCGAAAGCCCCAATGGCAGGGTTCGCACGGTGGCATCGGGCCATTTCGGTACACCCCTCGCGAGGATTGTGGCCCCATAGGGAGCTCCTCCGAGGGCCCCGGTGGCAGGGTTCGTGTGGCGGCCCCGCTCCTGTGTGGCGCACCCATCACATGGTTCGTGGCCCCATAGAGGGCTCCACCGAAGGCGCCAGTGGCGGGGTTCGCGCGGCGGCCTCGGGCCATTTCGGCACACCCCTCACTAAAATCGTAGCCCCATAGGAGCTCCACCGAAGGCCCCAGTGGCAAAGTTCGCATGGCGGCCCTTGGCCGTTTCGAAACGCCCCTCGCGAGGATCGTGGCCCCATAGGGAGCTTCACCGAAAGCCCCAATGGCAGGGTTCGCACGGCGGGCCCGGGCCATTTCGGCGCACCCCGCGCGAGGACCGCGGTCCCATAGGGACATCCACCGAAGGCGCCAGTGGCAGGGTTCGCGCGGCGGCCTCGGGCCATTTCGGCACACCCTCACGAGGACCGTGGCCCCATAGGGACATCCACCGAAGGCCCCAGTGGCAGGGTTCGCGCGGCGGCCTCGGGCCATTTCGGCACACCCCTCACGAAGATCGCGGCCCCATAGTTGTGCTGCTTCAACAACCGCGCCTGGGCGTCGTACTCTGGCTTGTCGACGGCAACGCCACCTCCTCCCTCATGGCTCTCAGAACCCTCTCCTGCTTCTGCTCCTCGGTCAGAGGGGCGCCGTCCTCGTCGTCGTCGGCGCCCGCGAAGACGGCCACGAACGTGCCCCTGAGCATGTCGGGCTCCGGCGGGAAGCCGTGGCCACATAGGGAGCGCGGGCGAAGATGGTATTCACAATTAGCGGTATTCACAACTGCGCAAAGCTGGGCCCTTCGCCAGGCTAATCTCTCTCTCTCTCTTTCTCTCTCTCTCTCTCTCTCTTTATATGTATGTCTCTCTCTCTTTCGTTTTTTTTTTTCTCTCTCTCTCTCTTTATCGGTGCCTGGCTGCGGGGGCGAGGGGCGCCTCGTTTCCCGCGGGCCGCTTAGCGGCCTAGCCTTTGTCCCCTGGCCGCCAACCAGGGCTTTGCCGACCTGGGGCCCTTTCCACCGCGGGGCGCCGAGAGACGTGGCGAATCGCCTGATCAACACCCCGCCTTTTACCTTAGCCGCTTTGCGCGAGGGGGTGGTTGTTTCAACGTCCCCCGTACCCCGAGGTGGGCCCCACCGCTAAGCGTGCAATGGCGGTCTTGGCTACCGCAGCAGCCGGCAGTCGACGAGACGCCCGTCTGTTTGTCCGACCTTTTTCTCCCTCTCACTCTCTTTCTCTCTGTCTCAGTCGCTGTCTCTGTCTCTGCCTCTGTCTCTCTCTCTCTCTCTCTCTTTCCTACCTCTCTCTCATTCTCTCTCTCTCTCTCTCTGCCTCTTTCTCTATGTCATTCTTCATCTCTCTTGCTCTCTGTGTCTCTGTCTCTGTCTCTCTCTCTCTCTCTCTTTCTCTCTCTCTCTCTCTCTGTCTCTCTCTCTCTCTCTCTCTCTCTCTCTCTCTCTCTCTCTCTCTCTCCCAGGCACACAACACAATCCCTGTGAAAACACAAGGTTTGCGGTGTCAGGGGTGTGGAAACCTTGTGTGTTCATTCGGAGTTTTGGGATCTCTGGGGTGAGGATTGAGGAACCATCTGTTCCCAGTAAGAGTGTTCAAATGTAGGGGTTTTCCTTTCCCCAACGAAGATCAAACCCAGGAGCCCTTCCAGGAGCTCCGATCCCCAGAATCCCCAAAACATCAAACATTTTAATGCAAGAGCATGGTGTCCTCACTTCCTATCCCAGAAATCCCAACAGCAAACATGAACACACAAGGTTTCCACACCCCTGACATCGCGAACCTTGTGTCTTCATAGGGATTGTGCTGGGTGTCTGGGGGAGAGAGGGAGAGAGAGAGAGAGAAAGAGAGAGAGAGAGAGAGAAAAAAAAAGAGAGGGAAAGAGATAACAAGCATAAAGGAAAACATAAAGAGAGAGAGAGAGAGGACAAACAACTGCGACAGTGAGAGAGAGGCACATTCCAGATCCAGCTGATTCGCCTTATACCCCTTAAGTTCAAATAACATGCAATCGGAATTGGGCAGGTGCCACATCCAGCTGAGTCGACTTGCGTCTCCGATTGGAATCCTAATATAATCTTCCTTGGAACTGAGCAGATCACAGATCCAGCTGATTACAAACATATTCCTATTCCAACCTGGTTCGAATAGAATTGGGATGGGGCAGATTTCAAATCCAGATGATCCCAATGTGATTCCTAATGGGATCGAATTAAACTTCCATTGTAATGGCGCAGATCCCAGATTACAGCTGTTTCCACTTGGATCTTTATTGGAATTTGACTAACATCTGCTACGACTTGGGCAGGCCCCAGATCCAGCTGAGTACAATTTGGTTCCTATTGGGGTATCATGAGAATCGAACTGGAATTGGGTAGATCCCAGATCCAGCTGATTCCAGGTAGATTTACATCGGGAATTAATTCGAATACAATTTGGGCGGAGCGGTTCTCAGATCCAGATCATTCCAATTTGATTCCTATTCACATCTAATTCGGATCTAACTGGAATCGCGCAGACCCCGGATCAAACTGATTCCAATTAGATTTCAGCACGAGACAAGAACGGAGATCTGACGAACAGGAAAGAGGGATGAGCAGGCGCCGATGAAATTAATGCGGATGATTTGGAAGAGTACGGACGAGGAGCTCAAAGACCTATTCAAAATGACTGGGTGCTGGGGGGGCTGCGGATGTATGCGTATATGAATACAAGTGCTAGAAAGAGCAGAGCAGCGCACAGCAACGCAAAGCAGCACAAAGCAATGCAAAGCAATGCAAAGCAATGCAAAGCAATACAAAGCAATGCAAAGCAATGCAAAATAACGCTGAGCAGCGCTGCGTAAAGCAAAGCCGCGACACGGCCTCGACGGGGCGACGACGGCGACAACATAGCCGTCGGACCAGCAATCAGGCCCAGACGACAGGCGGCGACGAGGCAGCGACAGGGCGGCGACGGCGTAGAAGGAAGAAAGTCCTAAGTGCAAGCGCTGCTTGGGGAATGCGTATATATATGTGTTTACCATATATATCTATATATCTATCTATCTATCTATCTATCTATCTATATCTATCTATCTATCTATCTATCTATCTATCTATCTATCTATCTATCTATCTATCTATCTATCTATCTATCTATCTATCTATATGAGAGTATATAACATATCCAGGTGTCTCCACCTCCTCTGGGCAGGCCCATCCTGGGCCCGAGAGCGGTGTCTGCGTCCCCCTGGCTTGGCCATCGAGGCATGCACACCGATCCTGGGTCAAAGGGCGGGCCTGGCCAGGGGCGGTGGATACCATTCCCAGGTCTCGTCGCCCGATATCTGGAATCCGGATGCAGGCCGAATGCCGAGGTCGAGGTTCACCAGTTTCTCTCGATCCCCCCCCCCCATGCTCAAGCAATTCTCGTGGCCATGCTTGTCTAAGACATCCTCTGGTGTGCTGTGGTCGGATTACAGACCTGGTATGTATGTTAAGAAACCTGACCTGTCACCAAAATATCTCTTGGAGTCAGCGCCGGTGTATAGCGTGATTTGAAGTTCACCTATCTGCCCGCGCCCCGACTGCTCGAGGCCTAAGACAAGAACACAGCTTGCCCTGACGCGTCCCTCGTGCCAGATCCTGGGGCTTCCGAGCTTGCCGCGTCCACCTGCGACGGAGAGGTGCAGCACACCAGGAGGCTGAGGATGAGGCACAATTGACAACCGTCCGCGTCCGCATCGCGCACGCGCGCAACTGAGCATTCTGCGCTGATGATTTGACATTGCGCATGCGCGCAAACAACAAAAATGCTTCGAGAACGGTGCTCCAGCCGGGAGGAACAGTGAGCGTGAGGGGGGGGCCTTTCGAAACAGCAGGGGCAGCGTGCAGCGCAGTCGGTCGGGCCGGGGACAGCGGCCACATAGCAGCGAGCCTCCTCGGGCTCGAAAGCACGGCTGGCGATGTGGGGAAGCAGCGCGATGAAATCGCCTGGGGGCCCGCGCCGCGCGGAATGGGTGCACACGATCGCTTTCAGCTGCTGCCCGTGCAGCCTCGCTCCCCCGGCCAATCTCAGAAGTCAATATGTCGAGATTTCCCTCCCAATCGCACACCCCTCCTTTCAACCGCTGCTCTGCATGAGATGGTCTGAAATGTGTGCGTGTGCAATTGGCCCATGCCAGTCCCCAACCCATCCTGTGGCTCGCTCATCACATGAGTTGTCCTAACTCTCAACGTGTCGCTCTCAATCTGCAGGCTAGTCCCCACATCAAGCTCGCAGCTTCTGGCAATGATCCAGGTCGCGTGCATTTCCGTGCATGGGGTACGAGGTACGAGCATTGACGCGCGAAACCGTCGATGACGGGACATGCAGAGCAGCAACGCATGGGATCCAGCGGCTATGCCTGCTGGTTACCAGGAAAGCTCAAGAGGGGCACGTCGCCTTCCAGAAGCGCGCCCGTCTCCGTCACGCTCACCCTCGCGGTGCGGACGAGTTTCGGCATGTCCTTCTGCTTCAATCGCACCGGCATCACCTCTGGTACGAGCAGGAGCGCGAGACCGGGGCGGAGGAGCCTGGAACGGAGAGATCAAAAAGGCTGCCAGGGGGCTGTGAACTGCAGCACTGTGCCAGGCCAGGGGGGCCAGGGGAGGTCGTCGTTCAGCCTCCAAGGGGGCACCCACGCTGAAGCAACCCATACCGCTTGCCGAGAGCTCGCCAAAGAAACCGCTGTGGCTCTCAAGGCGTCACCTCTCTCTCTCTCTTTTGTTGTTCCTCTCTCTATATGTATAGACGTAACCATGTGTATATATATATATATATACACAGACATCCCTCTGTCACTCTCTCTCCCTCTTGTTTTCCCTATCTGTCTATGTCGGTCTCTCTCTCCCTCCCTCCCTCTCTCTCTCTATATATATATATATGTATCCTTCTCTCTCACTCTCTCTTACCCGGCACCCATGCCTCGAGCGCACCGTCCCCTTGAGGGATCCTCCCTTCCTTCCTGAACCCTTCCCTTCCTCCAGTTCCCCTTCGCACGTGACACCACTCTCGGGGGCGCGCATACATGGATTAGCGATCCATGGATGAGGCGTGCGGTCGCCAAATCCGTGGATCCGAGGAAGTGCCCTCCCCAAAATGGGGCCGGTGCCGCCTCGCTCGGCGGCGGAAATCCGCGATTTCCCATGGAAACGGGACCCGTCGCCAGTCCACGCCTCCTTGATCCATGTTTGCGATCGCCTGACACCCTGCCTCTCCCGAGCCCGCCTCCCGGCCCCCTCCCCCTCCCCCTCCCCCTCCCCCTCCTCCTCCTCCTCCTCCTCCTCCTCCTCCTCCTCCTCCTCCTCCTCCTCGTCCTCCTCCTCCTCCTCCTCCTCCTCCTCCTCCTCCTCCTCCTCCTCCTCCTCCTCCTCCTCCTCCTCCTCCTCCTCCTCCTCCCCCTCCCTTCCAGAGGAACAGCACTGCCGATCGACGTCTCCCAGAAGAAGCATCCCTCCGTGGGCCAGTCCAGGGGCGCCTGAGGCTCCTCGCTGGCCCTCCCGCGCGAGACCACGCCCTGCCCCTCCGCGCGAGACCCGCGCGGAGGCCGAGGCCATCCCCACGGCCACTCGGCCAACAGGGACGGCCGCAGACGTGCCATCACAACCCTGACCTTCAGTCCCAGGAGGGCGCCACTTGCAACCATCCAGGCCCCCCCCCCCCTCTCGTCCTCCCCGCGTGCGAGAGTTGGTTCCGGGCAAAGGGGGTCCCTCGCAGTGGGGGGTCGCAAAGACTGGGGCCGTAGCTTTCATTATGTGGCGCACGGCGCGTGGCAGCCATGTGCAGTTTTGCGCACATCGTCGAGGCCCCCCCTTTGCCAAGGACCCGCGAGCCCGAACCCGGGACAGGCCGCCTCGATGTCTGTCATCAGCTGCTCCATCGC